GACCCACAGTGACCGGTCCCTGCATCCACCCCACTCCCCGAGGAGCACCGTATGGAGGTGCAAGAGCTGGGAGGCCCAGGGATTCTGGGACAGCTTCTCTTTAGGAACCGTTTTATCTATTTATTTTTGGCCAGGCTGGGTCTCTGCTGCTGCTCGGGTGTTTCCCCAGTTGCGACTGAGCGCGGGCTGCTCTCCGGCTGCGGGGCGTGGGCTTCTCTTCGTGGGGGCTTCTCTCGGGGCGCACAGGCTCTCGGGCACCCGGGCGTCAGCGGTTGCCGCACACGGGTTCGAGAGCTGCAGCCCATGGGCTCAGTGGTTGTGGCGTCGGGGCCTTCCGGATGGCTCGGCGGTACAGAACCCGCCGGCCAGAGCAGGAGGTCAGGAGACACAGCTTCCATCCCCGGGTGGGGAAGATCCCCTGGAGGAGGAGATGGCAGCCCACTCCAGGACTCTCGCCTGGAGAATCCCATGGACAGAGGAGCCTGGCGGGCTACGGTCCAGAGGGTTGGAAAGAACCGGACATGACTGAAGCGACTCAGCACGCATGCATGGACTTGGCTGCCCTGCGACATGTGGGATCTTCCCAGACCAGGAATCAAACCCATGTCTCCTACAGGGTCAAGTGGGTTCTTTACCACTGAGCCACCGAGGAAGTCCTGGGACAGCTTCTTGGAGCGGGTGAGGCCAGTGAGGGAGGAGTCATTTCAGCAGAGCAGGGAACTGACCCACTGCAGACGGCCTGGGACGCAGGGCACAAGGGGGCGTCCCCGGGGGGGCCCCGGCCAGCCCACTCCCAGCACAGACAGGCCTGGGTGACCGTGGATCCCCGCGTGGGGAGTGAGCGCAGGCAGACAAGCCAACTGGAGACCCAGCCTACCCCTTCCCTTCTGGGCGCTGGCCGGAGTCCCGCTTGGGGAAGAGTATCGGGGAGCAGGCAGAGCCCTGGGCGCACACACATGGGGCTGCCAGCCTGGATGCAGCCCGTCGTGGTGGAGGCATGCCACGTGGCCACCGAAACCACGTCCAGAGAAACGCTCGAACCTCTGGAAATGTTTTGGGTTGGTTTCAAGAGGAAAAGGTGGACAGGACTCCAGGAATCTGTCGGTAGAGGTGACCAAGCCCAGGGCGCAGGCACGGGCCCTCTGTGGGCCTGTTGGTCGAGGCCTGGCTGCGGTGAGGCAGGAGGCTGGGCACGTCTCTGGCGCCCAGGCCCTCTCTTCCCAAGCGGGTCAGACACATTTTACGATTAAGTTCAAAAGCCGGACGAGCGCTGCCCCTGGGGTTCTGGAAGCGACCTCTGGCTGTCCTGGCGGGCACGGCCCCTGCCCCCCACTCTCACCCCTCCTCCCCACATCTCGTCCCCTCTGCCGTAGGACCACTGTCACCCACACCAAGCTGCCCAGCTGCCCCCACGCTGTGAGCAACTCATGAGGCCAGGGCGGGCAGCAGCCTCATTGTGGTCACAGACAGCCCACCCCAGGCTTCCGGAACCCATCTGCCTGCTGAGGAGCAAGGCGGGGACCTGGCCAACCCAGAACCAGTCTTCTCAGGATGTCCAGGGAAATCAGGAGCGCCCCACACCCTCTGGGCACATCCGAAGCGCCAAGACCAACGTCTGCAGGAGGGAGAGGGGCTGGGGCCCCAGGACCAGGAGTCTTGGTCTGGTGGTACCTTAGAATGGGGGGGGGAGCTTTAAACAGGCCCCACCCAGCAAGCCAAATCATGCCGGACTCCCTGGAGGAGGCTGGGGTGAGTTTCTTTGGGGGGCAGGAATGGGCTCCCCAGCAGACCTCCCCAGCCCATACTGGTGATGGTACCCCTGCATCTCTGGGGACAGAAGAGGGGGAACAGACCAGTTCAGCCTGGGGTGCGGGTGCTGAGGGCCTTCTCCCCTTTGGGCCCAGCAAGCTGGACCTCGGAGAAGAGAGTGGTCACAAGACACTGACCCCTCTGTGAGCCAGGCCTGCAGCCTCACCCCCACTGGTCCCAGGTTCCCCAAGTGGCCTGGGGGCCTGTCCAGGGACCGCCCAGCGAACCTGGCCACAGTGCCCACCACAGGCAGTAGGAAGCCCCAGGTGATGTTCCATTGCTGTACCCCACTGGATTCAGGGCTGGCCACCCCAGGCCCCAGTCTCCCACTGGGCTTTAGACAGGGCCCGCACCCCAAATTCCCTACCTCTCCCTAACACCCCCAACCAGGGCTGCCCCTAGACTGCTTATCCTGTAAGAGGAGGTCTCCAGGGTCTGGGCCGTCAGGACCCCCAGTTCTGGCCGCCTCAAACCCCTTGGCCTGGGAAGGTTGTTAAAGAGAGATAAGAAGGGGTCTAATTTGTGATTGGAAAAGCTTGGTATCCACTTGCCAAGGCTTGGCCGAGCCCCTTCCCAGGCCTGGAGGGGAGGGAGGCCCGGCCCGGCCCCTGACCTTGGCCTCACACAAGCCCCTCCCCAGTCCCAGGCACTTCTGGTTTTGCCAGGGTCTCCCGGGGGCCCCAGTCGCCCACAAGATACCCCAGGAAGCGGGTGGCTGGCATGGGGGTTAGAAGCTTGGGAGGCCCCTTCATCTGTACCACTGGCTAATGAGAGTACCTGGCCCCTGGGCAGAGGCCCAGTGTAGGCCTGGCACGGCCGGCAGACTCAGGTGAGACTCCCCGGTCCTGAGTCCCTCCTCCAAGACCGTTTCCTCGGTGGAAGGCTGAGGACTTGCTCCCAAGCCAGGGCTGGATGGGCCTTTGCTTTTGGTCCGGGGCCTGTGGGCAGAGATGCTGGCCCCGATGGGAGGGCACACAGGCAGTGGCCCCAGAGGAGCGCCCGCCCTGAAGCCCTCCTCCGTCCATCCCTGGGAGAGGACGGGCTGTGGTGTGTACAGCCCTGAGACTATGAGCTGGTTGGGGGGGCAGGGGAGGGACTTCGCAGCTCCCCTCTTTCCTGCTACGGAAAATCTGCCCCTCCAGGCCGCCCGGCTGCTGTCATATAAACATCTCTGCTGCCTCCAGGCGACTCCTCTCCTGGGCACCGACCCGGAGAGAAGTTACCCCAGGCTCTGAGCAGTGCCACGCCGCCAGCTTCCTGGAGGAGGCAGGCCAGGGAGGCTCCAGCAGCAGCTGGACAAGCTGTCCCTCCTGGGGCTCACAACTGCTTCCCAGCTGCCCCCAGGGGCCCTGCAACAGGTGCACCAAGGAGGGTGGGCTGGTGCAACCTGCCCGCCAGCAGGCAAACCCCACTCTGCCCACCTCTCTGAGCCTCCCTGGCAAGGGCGGCTTCTCGGCCAGCCTCTGGGATTTCTGCAGACCTGAGGGTTCTCCTGCCAAGGCACCCATGCCGGCTCACTACCCTGTGTTGAGAGGGGGTGCTGTTCTGTACCCAGTGCGAGGCGGTAAACCGGCTCAGTAAGGACTATGGCAGGCATTTTGGACGCCCAGCACTTAACCCGGGCTGGCACAGGATGCCCAAATCTGGCGTTGCAGTGCAGAAATAAGTCACCCGGAAGGAGCACGGGGGAGGGGTCCAGGGCTGCCCAACCCACAGCGTGCTTCGCGGGCCACCTTAGGCTGGAGGTGCGGGAGAAGGGGTAGGACGGTGACCAAGGCGCGTCTGGAGGCGGTCCCTCCTGGGGGAACTGGAGCGCAATCTTTCTGGCCAGGCGCTGGCCCCAGGCTATTTCCTTGGGGGTACCCAGGGTCCCTTTGGCAGAAGCTGCAGCCGCGGTACCACCATCCTTCAGGGTCAACTGCCCCGGTCTTCACAGCCACGGAGGTGGGGGCGGGTCTGGGCTGGATCTTTCAGAAGTTTTAAGTTGCGACCACGGGTGCTCCTAGGATTGGAGCCCCGGGTCAGGGGTACACGCAGGGCTGCCGATGGCGCGACTTCTCCCAGAGCCTGTGTCCCAGAGACCCCCACACTCGCCTGCCCAGCCCAGCTCCTCTCGGGGACAGGCCTGTCCCAGGCGCCCCTTTCCTCGCTCGGCCTGCGCCTCCTCCGCTATTGAGATGCAAATCGTTGCCAATTGTCGCAGAGCGCAGCGGGAGCCCACAGCCGGATCCTTCCGCAACCCCGGAGCAAACTTTGGGTCTCAGAAAACTTTCGAACGAGAAATAGTCCCTTAGGGCATGGGCCCCGACCCCGCTCCGCACGGCCGCGGCCCCCATCCCCGAAGGACCCGGGCTCGGGACCCCGCGCCCCATCCCGAGGAGGCGTGGGACTGGTCGAGGAGAGCGGAGGGGCGCGGCCAGCGAGGGGGCGCGGGTGCGGAGGGATCGGCGGGGGCGTCCGCGAGCCCGCAACTTTCCGCGCCTTCGGAAACTTTTGGCGGCGCCCTAGGCGCGCGTCCCCGAGTGCCTGAGAGCGGGTGGCCAGGGTGGGGAGGGGGACCGGGCGACCCGGGGCGGGGTAGGAGCCAGAGTCCCGGGCTCGGGGAGAAGGACTGACCCTCCCCCGCTCCGCCTGCCCGATCGGGACGGACTTGGCGCCGCTCGCGCCTGGAACAGAGTTTGGCGCCGGGTTTGAAGCCGGGCGTGGGCATCTGGGGGCATGGAAGACCTAGCTCTGGACTCGCCCTTCACCAGCCGCGCGTGGGGCTCGCTCCTGGGGCGGGCGGACGAGCTGCCTACTACTTTTCGATTTGAATCGAGTCGGTTTTGGTTTCCTGTTGCTTTGGGGCCATTTATCTTTTTTCTTCGCCTCTTGCCCGCCCCGGGGGCGGATGTTGGGGCGCGGAGCTTGGGGTCCAGGGCGCCGCGATCGTCTTTACAGAACCGCACTGCGGGACCTGGCTGCCCAGCATGGTGGGCAGAGGGGAGCGGGGTGGGCCAGGCGGCCCGACCTCCTTTCGGAGTAGGAGAGTTCGTACGGGACCCGGGCGAGGGTCCCAGACCCAGGTGTCCCCGGGCTGCTAGCCTCCTCGCCCGCGGTGTCCCCTCCCCACACCAGGGTGCTACCCCCATCCTGGCTCACAGTTTGGGGTGGGGTGGGGGTTGTAAGCGCCGAAGAATCAGCTGCTACTGATGGACTTTCACTTTGTGGAGTTCAAGTTCGGAGACCTTCAGCGGGTGGGGGGCGGTCATTCCTCTCCCACGGAGAGGAGCTCCGAGGAATCGGATGGTGATTAATGCTTCTCTTCCCCTAAAGTTAGAGGGAGAACTAGTTCCCTGCTTCCTGAAGATGGGGTTCCATGTCACACCCCGTCCCCACCCCGAGAGGGGGCTTAATTTACACAGCCCTGGTAAGAAGGAGGGGGGGTGTGGATTAATTGGTCCCTTCCTGGGGATGAGGTCAAATTCCTTCCAAATGGAGCATATTCATCCCCCCCAGCCCCTGGCTGTGTGTGGGGGGGAGGCTGCCACTGAAGATGCCCACCCTGGGGAACCGGTGTTGGGTGTCGGTGGAGGCGTGGTCAGGTCCCTGGGGTGCAGTCCTGGTGCCCCAGGAGGCGGCCCTGGCGCGACAATGGGCTGCTCTGATTCCTCTGTCCGGCGCTTTGTTGGCGGGCGGGGCAGCGGCCCTTGCAGCTGTCGCATTTTCCCACGAGCGGGGGAGCTGAGTGTGGCCAGCACCGCCCCCCACCCCCAGCGCCACCCCCTGGAAGAACTTGTTTGAACAGCGAGACAATCCTGGTGGTTGGATAGGGGCCCCAGCCCAGCCAAGGTCCCGAGTGAAGCTGGGGTGAGGGGTGAGAAGTTTGGGAGACTGGCCCAGGGTCATCCCAGCCTTTCTTCCCTGCTGTCTACACTGCATTTCAGGCCATTTCTTCCCACCACCTGCCCCCACACACTTTGAGCATGACCTGTCCACCTGCCACCCAACCAGTCCATTCCTCCTCGCCTCCTCTCGACCCCAGCACTCTGGGAGGAATGTTGAGTTCCCTCAGGGTTCACGCAGGGCTTCCTGGGGGCCCCCTGCACCCAGTAACCCCGTGACAGGAGGTGAGGGGTGGGCAGTGCCCCTGGGGGTGCTGGCAGGGCTGACCTCTCCTGTTGCCCCTCCCCAGGCCTGCGCTGCTCCCAGCCTGGTGAGACCTGCTTGAACGGCGGGAAGTGTGAAGTGTTCCCCAACGGCACCGAAGCCTGCATGTGAGTATGGGCCCCCGTGCCCCTGCGGGGACCTGTTGCTTTGTCGGGAGCGGAGCCCCTGCCTTCTGCAGCGGGCCAGCGGGGACAGAACACTAGGCCATTGTCTTCTGGAGATGGCCCAGAAGGCTGGGCGCGGTCACGTGCTAGTTTTATTGGACAAAGTCTGGCAATTACTTAATCACCAGCAATTATGCTGCGTGTGGAGCCGGCCTGGCTGCTGGGGGTTCGAGCGCTCCTTTGAGGACCACCTCGGGCTCCTGGGGTGCTAGGTGGGCATCCCCGCTACCCCATTTCTTCCCAAAGTCCTTGAGACCTGCAGGGAGGTTCCAGAGCATCTGGAGGGAGGCCCGGCCCTCCCCACTCCGCCAGCCTGGGGGAGTGCCTCTGCTGGGGGCAGGTGAGGCTTGCTCTGGGCAGGTGAGCGCCTCCCGGACAGGCGGTGCCTCTCAGCGAGAAACTGACTAGTTCAAAGGCAAACCCACCCTTTGCCGCCCTCTGCCTTCCCTGGCCTCTGGCGAGGTTGGGGAAAGGAGGTTGGAACTCATTGTGGTGGCCGTGCCAGTCTCCGTGGGGGTGTGGGTGGGAGTTCCTGCCAGGAGCTCTGTCTCTATCCCCAGCTCTGACCTCCTGACCGGGTGGCCCTTCGCTTTCCCAGCCCTGGGTCCTCAGCTGTGAACTGGGGCGGGGGCGTCTGCAGTCGGGGAACCTGGTTAGGATCTATCTCCTTCCTGCCTGCCTGCAAGTACCAGTCAGCCTCTTGGAAAGTTTTTCTGCTGTGGCTGATGCCCTTCAACTTGAGTTCGTCCCTGATGGGAATACCGAGCAGGTTCCTGGCGGCTGGAGAAACGCCCCCTCCCCAGGCTGCAGAAGTGGGTCCCCAGCAGGGCTGGCGCGCCCTCATTCCAACTGCTGAGGGCCCATTCCCTTGACAACCCCCAGCCCGGGCTCACTGCCGGCCTCGCCAGTGGGCAAGCAGCCCCTTCCCCCCCACCCCGCCCCAGACTGAAGCCAATTAAGCAGGTCTGTGAGCAGTTTCATGGACAAAGCGCATTGTGTCTTTCTCAGACGCTAATGAATGCGCACTACTTTTTTTTTTTTTTTGCTTTTTTGGGGCCTTTTTCTCCTCCTGCAGAAGCCTCACCGACGCTTGATGCCCTAAATCTTGTTTCCTTTCATTGAGAGACCGACAGCTGGGATTCAGTGGAAGTGCAGGGGCTATTGTTGGGGAGGCGGATTAATGCTGGGTGATTAAGTATGCGTGGCTTCCCAGAATGCCCACTCCCTTCCCTGCCTCTCTGCTCACTGGGCTGTGTGTGCGTGTGGGGCTGGGGGCAGTCTCCGAATTTCTGCAGAGGGGTCTGGGGAGGGCAGGGGCAGTGCTGGGCTGGGGAAAGTAGGGGCCGTCTCTTCTTGTGCCATCACTGGGGAATTGGGACGGGGCAGCCTGGGGCCCCCCAGGGCCAGCGCTCCAGACACTCGCTGCCCTGGCTGCTGCAGCTCTCACCCACTGGCCTCTGGGTGAGGCGCTTCGAAGGCACGGGGCTGGGGGAGGCTCTCCCGCCCCCAAACCTGGGCAACTTTGGGAGTTCCTGACTCCCCAAGCCAGGCCCCAGCTCAGGGCTAGAGTGCCGGCCTTTTTCCTCCCTGTGGCCTGCTGATCCCCCCCACCACCACCTTGGCGGGAAGCCTGCCTGTCTGGCCTGGCACCCCGCCTAGCTTGGCCCACAGAGACCCCATTGTGCGCACCCTGCAGACCCACTGGGAAGTTGAACGGAAGCGCCATCCTTGCAGGCCCCGCCTCTGGGCGCCTTGGGCTGGAGGCGAGGAATCAGCCATGATGGCTGGCCAGGCCCAGCCGTGGGGAGGCCCCAGTCCAGGCTCGCGGGGCAGGGTGGGAGCTCTGCGACCACCCCCAGTCTCGCTGTCACCCACCACCCGCTGGTCTGCAGAGGTTCCGCCGGTGGGGGCAGCCCGGCTGTCTGGGCTGAAGGGGAGAGCCGCTTTCTTCCCTCCAAGGTGTCTGGGTCTCAGGCCGACCTGGCTGTGAACTCGGGCTCTGCAGTCTCCAGCCCGGACCCGCAGAAAGTTCTGTGACTTTTCTGTTGCTTCCCCTGTGGCCAGGGCGTGGGAATCAGTGCCGTCATGTGCCAGGCGCATTCATGCCAGGTGACTCATCTGTTTCCACCCAGAGAGAGAGAACCTTCCCCAGAAGCCACCCGTCAGGTGTCTGCGGGGCTCGGGGTCGGAAAAAGAGGTTCGTGTTGTTGCGAAGGCCCTTCAGGAAGTCCCAGAGATCCGGGCCGGGCCGCCCAGTGGCCGTGTGTCTCTGGGGGCGGAGTGCTCTGCCCAGAGGAGGGCGGCTGTGTGTGGTGGCCCTGGGGGCTGCCTGGGGAGGCTAGTGACCCAGGGGTGGGCTCAGGCGGGTCTTTGCGACCCCCTGCCGCCTCGGCGCCCAGAGCACGCCAGAGGGAAGTTGGGCAGGTGGTGGACCTCAGCTTCGGACGATCCTGTGTTTGAGGCCTGGCTCTCCCGTGCCCAGGGTCGTCGTGACCTCAGGTCATCGGGATGCCTGAACCCAGATTTCCCGTCTGTAATTTGGGCTTGATTCGTGATTGATCTCTTGGTGGCGCGTAAAGGTTACGTGAGAGGCACGCAGCCGGCGCGGGGCAAGTGTCCGTTCCCTTGCTGCCTTCTCCTTTTGAGCTGACAGCGCTGGTTTCGGGATCCTCATTCGAGAGGGTTTAGTTATCTAATGAGTGAGTTCAGAGCACCCGAAAGGTACGGCCTGGTGGGCCCGAGCCGGGGCACCGCCTGGGAGGGGCCGGCCAGTGACTCCGAGGACTTCTCACCCGCGGTGGCACCCGTGAACGCCCTCCTTGCTTCCTTCCCAATTCTGAGCACCTGTTGCATGCTGGGCTCTGCTCTGGTCGTGGGCATGTGGGCCCAGGTCCAGCGCAGCCCCTGCCACCATAGTCTCTCTGCTTTCCAGTGTGGGGTTTAGGAGAGGCAGCACGAACACGTGACACATCAGAGGGAGGGGAGCGCAGTGGGCAGGGTGGCCCGGCCCCACGTGGCTGGCAGGAACCCCAGAACCGCGGGCATCGGGCGTGTAGCAGGGCCCAGAGACGTCGGCGCTGGGCCCAGCGTCACGCAGCCCGGCGTAGCACCCAGCCCCGCCTCGCTCTGTCCAGGGACGTGTGTTCCTAACCGCGGCCGCATCCTGCCTGCACTGCCCCCCGGGGCCCTGGCCGGCAGTCCTGTGAGGAAGCGGGGCGGGGACAACGACTTCCCTTTAGAAGAAGCGGGTCAGGGGCCGAGTGGAAGTGACTCGGCCACCCGGCTGCAGAAGCACGGAACGTCTGTGTCTGTGTCACCTGGCCTGTCTGTTTCCACTGAGTCACCTGCGTGTCTCGGGCGAGGCTGGGGGAGGAACAGGTTAATTCTCATCCTTACCCCCCGCTCCCCCCCACCCCAGGCTGAGAACGAACCAGGTCTGTACAGGACTTCCTCTGTTCGTCAGCGCCTGGGCGCCAAGGACGCAGGGTTAGAAAAACACAGTGAATGCACAGCATCAGCCCCAAACCCTCACCTGCTGCCTCTGACCACGGGGGGCGGACGTCAGGGCCCCCCCAGGAAGGTGCCCTCCTCGGGCCTGGCCCTGCCTCTACGGCGGCCAGTGTTTTTTCCACTGGAAAAAAAAATAATAGGGATTGTTTTTTTTTTAAAAGAGAGAAAAAAAAAAAGAAAGCTGTGCCCTTAGCTGGAAGAGGGTGGGGCTGGGCAGACAGCTGAGAGAGGAGAATGCTTTGCGTCAGGACAGCTGAGCTGGGTCAGGGCAGCCGGGGCCACGAGTGAGAGGGCGGGTGCGGGGACCCCCCCCTCCGAGGTGGCGGGGGGTGGGGGCAGGTCCAGGGGGTGGCACGGCTCCACTCCCCCGGGGCTGGGAGGCAGCCTAGAGGTCCTGCTGAAGCCGGCGCTGGCTCTGTCCCTCGCTGACCGTGACGCTGATGAGTGGCTGTGGCCGTCGCGGGCAGATGGGGCCCCTGCTGGGCTGGGCCTGGCCTGGCCTGGCTGAGCCGGGCTGGGCTGAAGGAGGGCACCTTTCCTGTTTCATCTCTCGCCTATAAATAGTGAAAGGATGTGGCTTTGCAGAGTCGATTGAGTATCCTGATTGCTTTCCTCAATAAAGCGCTGACGATCGCCCCACGCACAGACAGCCCCTTTCATCCAGCCTCGTAAAAGTGTGGCAGACGTTTTCTTCGGCAGCCTCACACCCCCTCGGGGTGGCGGCCGGCTCTGCATCTCATCCGCAGTCCCCACTTTACAGGTGGGAACGGCTGAGGCTGAGAGATGAAGAGGCTGGGAATGGGAGTAGGGGACCTGGGGCCAGCTTGCCTTGGCTTCTGCCTTCGTGTCCAGGCACATCTGGGGCCTTGCAGACTCTTCCCAGAGGTGTTAACAAGCGGCTGGCCTCGGGGCATCGTGACTTGTGGGTCAGGATGTGTTTGATGGGTCCTGAAGTTCCCGGCTGGGCTGTCTCTGGCAGCCCCACCCCGTAGTCCCGTGGGCCGAAGCAGGTACAGAGCGACTGGCTCCTCCTCTGTGCCTGAGAGTGCAGGGTTAGGTGGCTCCCGGAGCTACCTTCCCGCGGCATCCTGGCAGGACCCTGGGATGGGCCTGCAGATGCCCAGGTGGCAGGAGTGGACTGCGGCGTGGTTGTGGGAGGAGGGCCCAGGATCCAGGCCTGGCCGTGCAGCAGGGCAGCTTCTGCCCACCTGGGGCCATCTCTGGGCTTCAGCGTCCTTATCCGCACCCCCGGCCTGCTGGTGGGCTGTGGACACACCCGCCAGGGCGGGGGCCGTGATTGACAGGTGCTGCTGCAGAGGAAGGGCCGGCGGGCAGAGAAGAGCCTTTTGCCAAAGTGGCTCTGTTGGCTTCTTTCCGGGCATCTCCTTCCTCAAGGCCCCGCCCACCTCGCTCTGCTGAGGTCACAGGTTGCT